CTTGGCAATCTCTGAGATTCTTAAATTTCTTTTTTTATACATAGTTTCTAATTTCTGTAGCGCTATTCTGATAACAAAAATGAAACAATCTTCGTAACTCATACAATAAACATGCGTAAATTATATTTAAAAATTTAATCTGATTTACAAAAAAAATTAACTGCATGTACTGTTTCTGTTGCATTACTTATTTCAAATATAGCTCACACGGCAAAAAAAATTCTGGTAAAGTTACCGTACTGTATTCTAATGACATTTCTGATAAAAACCCGCTCCATAATTCTGGTTATAAAAGCCTAAATATACAGTATATAAACTATTCGTTTGATAATTTTTCCCTTCGTATAGTAACTGTTTACCAGGCATTCTGTTGTTTAAAATTAGAGTTTTTATTACCACTCATTTAATAAGAAATACGAAACTGAAAAGTAAATTTATCCAAATAAGCGGCTTCGATAACATGCTCTTAGGTATCATGATAAAAAGGTTTCTATAATATGCTCTTAGGTATCATGATAAAATTACCAAAGTTCACCACATTTACCAAATTTTCTTACATATCATAAAACCATGTTTTATTGCCAATTTCACCACGATCATTACCAATGAGTTTCGGTAAAAGTAACCGAGCTTTTTGGTGTTTCCATAAAGCCAGAAACATGGTAAATTTTACCATATTCTGGTTGTTTTGACCATACTCCTTTTCTCAGTGCAAATAAAACTTTGCGGTTATGGTTATAAAGAAGTTTTAAATGACCAATATATTCTAAAAATACATATAAGGGCTTAAAATTACAATAAAATATCATAAATGTTTCTGCTTTTATTTTTTAATATGATTAATAAATTTGTTTAGAAAAATAAGCTTTTTTTAATGCAATCCAAGTCATGTTCTTCTTAAATAATATGCTTCAATGATTTTCGCCAAAAAAATATAAAACGATTTATTAAGAAACATTCCAAACATAGAAAGTTAAAGATTAGTAAAAAAGAATATAGAAGTTCTTTTTTCCATGTAACCATTTCTCTGGTGGTGTGTTTTTATATTTATTTATCTTCCCTTATATTTGAGACTTAAAAAAGGGACGAAAATATGGTTGAGGAAAACAGGTCACGTCCGCTGGTGTCTTCACTTGATGGCTCAAACAGTTGAGGCTGGACTTGAATTAACGATAAGAAGCCAATGGACAATTTTGTTGCTTTTGACCACAAGTCCTTTTATTTTTTTTCCCTCAACTAACCTCGAGTTGTTTGATTTTTCTGCTTTTCTTCAGTTTTTGGTTTCCCTTTTTTTGGCTTTCTTTTTGGCAAAAAAAGGATATTTTTTTCTTTCCTTTTAACTCTTATTGCAATAAGATTTTATTTCAAAATGTTCAGTCGTGTATTTTGTACCAAAACAAGCTGATTCTGTGGAAAAGAAATTCAGTTAGTGTTCCTTTTTATCTCTGGAAGTATACTGATAATTACTTTATAGCTGTATTTTGTTTCGAGCTAGAAGGAATAGACTTCTTGAATGGAAAATGTATTTCGAAGAATATTTTAAATTTTTTTAGTTTTAAAGATCTATCTATGAGAAATTATGAAATGCCATGTTGCCAGTTTAAGAGTAATAATTTATTGAGGATGATTATTGCATCATATTTTCATGATAATGAATAAAAAATAACTAGATTTAATAAGGAGACGTATATTTTGTACCAAAACACGATGATTTTGCGGAAAAGAAATTCAGTTAGTGTAACTTTTTATCTTTGAAAGTATACTGATAATTACTTTGTAGCTGTATTTTGTTTCGAGCTAGAAGGAATAGAGTTTTTGAATGAAAAAAGTATTCATTTCGTAGAATTTTGTAATTTATTTTTAGCTTAAAAGATCTATCTATGAGAAATTATGAAATGCCATGTTGCCAGTTTAAAATTATAAAATTTGTTAAGGATGAATATTGAATCATATTTTAATGATAATGAATTAAAAATATCTACATTTAATAAAGAGACATATATTTTGTACCAAAACACGCTGATTCCGTGTAAAAGAAATTCGGTTAGTGTTCCTTTTCATCTTTGAAAGTGTACTGATAATTACTTTATAGCTGTATTTTGTTTCGAGTTAGAAGGAATAGATTTTTTGAATGAAAAAAGTATTTATTTCGAGGAATTTTTTAATTTTTTTTAGTTTTAAAGATCTATCTATGAGAAATTATGAAATTTCATGTTGCAAGTTTAAAATTAATAATTTGTTGAGGATGAATATTGCATCATATTTTAATGATAATGAATTAAAAAAAAAACTGAATTTAATAAAAAGAGACAATAGAGTTGGGAGGAATTTGAATAGTTAGAATGATGCTGTGTGTTGAGTAAGGATTTGTGTAAAGTATTAATTTGTGTTAAGAATGGTTTTGTGTGAAATAGGAATTTGTGAAAAAATGAATTAGTGTAAAAGAGGGATTTGTGTGAAATCGGAGCATGTGAAAAGTAGGTACATGAGTAAAGTAAGAATTTGTGAAAAGTAGGGAGTGTATATTAAGGACATGTAAAAAAAATGGAGGGAGGGGTGTATGGCCTNAAAAAAAAAGAAAAAAAAGGGGGGGGGGAGTATGGCCTCGGGGCACAGTCAGTCTTTGGTTGAACCACTGACTACAGAAAAGGCGTGTTAGCAGAGCAGTGTGTCCCCTGAAGAAGTACTGTTTTTGCTGGCATGCTTATGCTGGCATGCTCTATGAAATTTTGTTTGATTTTTATTTAAGTTCTACCATATTTATTTAAATTGTGTACTAAAGACAATTTTATACTGCTTTTAGAGTTTTTCCATTTTGATTTGTATTAAAATTTTGGTCTTCATTTTTATTTAATTCCATTTTTTATATTGTTACTAGACATATATAAAGGTTATGAAGAAATTCTAAAAGTAAAGATGCATATTTACGTTGCAAGCAAAGATGTATATATATGTTCTACGAAATTTCAATTAGTTTATTTTTCTGTATATTAAATCAAAAAAATTGAAAAAAAGATTAAAAGTATTTTTTTATCAACTACTTTAATTTTCTATTTTTTGTCCATTATAATTAATTTAAAAAGTATATAGTCACTATAATATTGTTTATCGATAACAATTATAGAGGGCTAAATGTTGACAGCAAAAATGCATTAAAATAAAAATGCTAAACCGTAATTTCCGGCAAACCGTTATTTAAGAACGAAAAAAACTACTAATTGAATGGTTTAAACACCGTAGATTTTGGTTTTATTAACCAAAATTATGTTTATTTTATTAATTTTTTTACTATAAATGTCTTTAGAATATGGTAATTTTAATAGAATTTTTTTCTCCCTACAGGATTGTAAAGAAAGTTCCCTTTAATACAAAACTTTCTCCTTAAACAACAAATTTTACGGCAATAAAACAAACACGGAAAAATTCTCAGTTAGTTAACTTTTATAAAAATCAGTCAGTTATATATTTTAAAATTTAAACCTTCAATACTATCTTACGGTGGTATTTTCAAACATTCCATCTACACCACAAACTAAAATGTTCGATCAGTTTTATGTCTTAACACCCCTGATCGTTTGCGAGAAACAAATCGAAGCCAATATTTGAGAGATTTAGAGAAGACATCAGATACAAGACAAAAAATAGCAAAAAGCAAAGAACAGATCGGAGGGGAGAAAAAAAAATCGAGTTGGGGGTTCTGCAGGGAGGATTTGATTCCGATTTCCGGTCAAGCAGGCCATTTGAATTTCATTATAAGTGAATGTGATTCGAAACCTGGTTCACTACTTAACGGTCTCTTAGAAACTTTAGGAATAAAAAAATCAGATTTGTTTTAGAGTTGATGCTCTAATATGAGGGAAAAACGTTAATGATGACGTATAGAGGAAGTATAGAGATCTATAGAGAAAGTATAGATTGATGTATTGAGTATGCATGGAAGAAAATGGACACCTTTTAAGATTATTTCATTTTGAAGATGCCTTTTACAACAGCAAAATTATTAAAACATGCTATGTATCCAATCGAAATCGTAGTTAATGAATCCAATTACATCCTAATTCTAGTTGGTTATTTTTACATATGGGTCAGTTTAAAAATTTTAATTCAATTTTTGGTAGGAAAAAAAAAACTACTAACTGATATCTAGTATAATAGAAAAATATGCACTGTAAGAAAATTCCGGATCAAATTATTGTATTAAGTACCTGCACTTTGGGTGCATCATCTGTGGAATCCATATTTACCGTAAAATTCATTTTTACTGTAAAACATTCTACCGCTCAGTGATATTTATTTAATTGGAGCGATTCAGTGATATTATTGTAATTACTACTGTAAAAACTACGGTATATCAGAGTTTTTGTATTTTTTCATTATTTTGTATTAATTTAGGTCAAAGTAAATGAAAAATAATATCTTTAGCATTTTAATAATGTATGGTTATATGAAATGCAGCGTGAATCACCGGTGTCTTTTTCTGCGTGAAAGGTAAAATCTTAAAAACACAGCTCATTTTCAGACAATTTTTCGAATTTGTATTTATTTTCAACTATTTATATCTAAGGAAAACAATAATTTATCACTGAAATCTCCTTAATTTACTAAATCAATTATTGAAAAAATTTTGAGTATGAATCAAAAAAAAAATTCGAACTACTTTTTTTTAGATTTTATATCTTAGAACAAATATAATGCCGATAATCTCACAGATATAACTATAAGACTGTTTTTTTTTCTATAATTAAAAAATACCAAAATATATTTTTCTTGTAATTAAAGCGTCAGAAAGTACTTAATAGAACACCGGTATCCCATCTGTGTCAAAGTACACATTAAATATTATTTATAAGATTCTATATCAGAAATATTAAGTGCAGTAGTCATTTTCAATATTAGGTCATTTTAAAAAATATACCATGAATATTGTATTTTTAACTGCCTGATGAAGGGAAGCGAGTTCAATTTTGATTCTTCAACATTGTTCAAAATGATGCACTTACTTTTGAGAGATGGACCTTCTTTTCGCCAAGGAGGATCGCCATGTGCCGTGAATTCCTTGAGCTTTAGGAAACTGATGGTGAGTCTAATGATGGATGCTTTATCTAACTGAGTCGTGATGGCTCCCGGTAAAGGCAACATTTTGGCGAGTTCGTAAAATTCGTAGTTTTCTTTGCCTCGCCTTGAACGAGCCGCATCTCTGGATTTCTCTTTTCGCATTTCAAGGATTCTGAAAGATTAAATAAATTACTTTTAGCATAATATATCGAATAACAATAATAATTTAGTCAGCCGTGGTGGCCCAGGGGATACAGCTCGCCTTCCAATTAGGTGAACCGGGATCAAATCCCAGCGATGACTGGTCAATACGAATACCGCACCCGACTAGCACCGACAACAGTATTGACTTAAAATATCCTCACTGGTAGACGGATTATGGGTTAAGAGTCCCCTTCAGGCAAACCGAGTGAGGGTTTCATGGTTTTCCTCCACATGTAATGCAAAATTACACGGGTTAATTCCATCAAAAAGTCCTCCAAGAAGGCATATTTCTCCCAATACTTGAACCAGAAGTTCCTTTGTTTTGTTGAAGTTTAAAAATTGTAGTAAGACGTCTATCCGAAATATTTATATAAAATGATATTGTAGTGGATTTCAAGATATTAAATGATATTGTTGTGGATTTCTAGTAAATTTAAGGATTTATTATTAGGTGTGTAAGTATTTCTAGTGTAATTTAACATCTTTAGAAATTTATTCTGTTGAGAGATTACCGAGAGCAAATTGGAATAATCGGTATATTTAAGTGATTTAAAATAGTTTATATTGTAAATGAACAGTAAATTAAAATAATTGATGTAAGTCGATATCATTTGTCCTTCTTTCCTGTACTTATGAAATGAACTCAGAAGACAAGGGAACTGAGTTAAGTAACGCTCAAGAAAACGATCACCTCCGTGACAGTTCCCTACATTTGGATTATACAAAGCTGATAACCAATCACGAAAATGTCCTTGGGTTATACTGACTGTAATGAATCCATTTAACACTGGTTTTTACTATTCCACTTATTCTGGGTTAGCAATAAACGTGTGATTTAGTATACAAATCAACTGTAATGGCTAGGACATGAACCCGAATTGATTTGAGAATATCAGAGCAAAATTTTATTTCATTACTTGCATTGAACAACTGATTTATATTGGATTTATGACTACCAACGTTTAAATCCATAGTCTAGCATATTTAAATTCAACCCAGATGGCGAGAAGGAAAACTACGCAAACCTTTCACTGTTAGCCTAACGGTAGAGGGGCACTAACCCAAGATTCGTGAACCACAGGGGATATTTTACGTCAGCAAGTAATCGGAACGATTCGGAAACATTTCACGGTAAGCCCGATGACAAGGGATCCGTTTACCAATCGGAAAATTTAACGCCAGCACACAGCAAGGGCAGAACGAAGTTGCTGCGACTTGAGTCAAATTGACCGGTAATCCCCAGGATTCGAACCAGTGCCGTCCCTTTGGAAAGCGAGATTTCTATTTCTTGTGCAAAATTCGGCTTTCAGAGAGCGATTTATGTTTATTTATTAAAAAGCTCACGTATTATTGAAACAATTGATTATTTTTTTTAAATATTGAAGGCTAAGATATTCTACAGCCTATAGGTTGCATTATAGCCTGTATTATGAAGGATGAGGAAATTGATAAGTTCATACATTTTTTAAAAGCCTTGGCCTAAAAGAACGTGTTTACAAGACACTAGGCAGTGTTGATTTTTTTACCATCGATTTCTATTTTATCCATACAAAAGCGTCCTTTCAAAAAAAGCTGACTCTTCGAATTTAACCGAAAAACGTGCTTCGAATGTAACACTAACCTTTCTCTCTTCTCACCCCCTGAAAACGATCTTTTTTATTTCTTTCTCGTCTGTTCTTTTTTAAAAAAGGTATTGACTGCAAATACAAAACTTCATGAGAGTAAAGGCCACTCCAAGGTCCAAGGGGTGGACGACGGATGTTCGACAACAATGACGTTCGAATTACGGGATTCTGCCCTCGCCACCCACTCCTCTAGTTAAAATTGAGTTTTACTCCATATTTACAACCCCTGAACATTTGAGGGGTGCTAGAATTGCAGGGAAAGTCCGTCAGGGAGAGTTGGGGGGATGAATGAAAATAAATTGTACTTTTGATGATCTCATGTTATATGTATCAGTAACATCTGTAGAACGTTCTATTTTTCGAACTTTTCCATAAGAATTTGTTAAAAGCAAGCATCTACAGGGTAAAATAAAATTTATCTGGACAAGAAGTCTTTTTTCTATGCTTTTATTAATGTTTTGGCTCTTAATATCCATTTATTCATGTAAGAAAAGGTTGGATATAATAAAATTACGCTTTAACAATTACACTGGGGAATTTTGTTGTTGTTGTTGTATTTATACAAATACTTGATGTTGCCTAATTCGGGTGTGAGCAATTCAAATCTGAAGTTAGTTTTGCTCCTAAGCTACAGATTATTTTTTAAAATGACATTGTTAATCAATTTTTGTCGAAATGTGAAAATTTAAAAGCGTTATCTATAACAGGGTGTACCTTAAATGTTGAAACAAATTTCTAGAAGAGTTAGGGTACATCGTACACGGTTATGGACGCTTACCAGTTATGACTTGGTTAAGGACACGCAAAAACAGTTCATAATAGGGAAGCACCCCAAGCGGCGTATGATGGCATTTCCGGGCATAAGTTTCTGTGCTCTTTTAATCCTAATGATGTGCCCTAACTCCCCTATAAGTTTGCCGCAATATTTATGAAACCCTCTGTAATATATAAAGTTTCGAACTTGTGCATTTCGAGAAAAGGGCTAAAAATTTCATTTTCTGAAGAAAAAAAATGGCTTGGGGGGGAGAAAAATTGAGAAAACATGGAAAATAATAAAGATTATTAAAAAGAGAAGAAGAAATTATTTCGTTTAATTTATTTTTCAGTTATTTATTTGTTACTAAATGTCTGGTTGTAAAAACTATAATTTTGAAAACCAGAATTTCCGGTAATTTATTACTAAATGAACGAAAAAATTGCTAAATAAATGGTTTAAGTACGATATATTAGGGTTTTATTAACCGAAATTATGTTTTATTTTATTTTATTTTTTAATAAAAGCAACTTTACCATACGTACGGTAATTTTACCACAAGTGTTTTGTACGTGCACTAACATCTATGTACGATAATCTATGTAACAACTACGATTATCTATGTATAGATAGTATGTTACAACTATGTATGTACGATTGTTCAGAACTAATGTGTTGTCCTAAAGTATACCTATGTGTTGTATCCTAAAGTATACCTAAGTATGTGTTATCCTAAAGTAAGTTATCCTAAAGTATATATGTTGAAACGTGGCGTACTATATTAAACTTAATTACACGATATTCTAATTTTAAGGAAACATGGTTCAATCTTAGCGAATATGATATGGTGGTTCAAATTACCGATATTATGATTAAATTTCTGACGGTATTATCTACGAATGTGCTATGACTATTTAAAGAAATTCGACTCAAAACTGCATTAAATATTAATAGAATTATATTAAAAAATTGCTATCACTTTCAATTCAGTAAATATAAAAAAACAGCTTGTGTACGCATGAGTTGTTTGCATTATAGCGCAAGTAGTTTGTATCGTTTGCAAATAATTTGCATATCATTGAACTTGCATAAATTAGTTGGTATTGAAGATAATTTTGCATTGTTTTATGAAATTTGAAATTTATTCTCTCAAAGTTTTACATGAAACATGTAATTACTTTATGAATACGTTTAGTAAAGAAAAGTGTGAAAACAATTTATTTTTAGAAAAAAAGTTTGAACTTTATTTTTGAAACTCAATTTAAAAAAAAAAAAATTATTTGATCCAACTGATATTTCTTTCCCTAAATCTTTAAAAAAAAATTTCTTATAAGACGATACATACAGAATAAATCAGAATCGAAACTGGGGAATGTTTTTATGCTCAGCAGAAACCAAGACCCCTTTAAAATAGACTAGAAAGTAAAAATAAATTGAAAGATTTGTCTTTTTCTATCTATACAAGTTCCGCCAAGATTCGAACGTCATTCGATTCACGTTCTAAAAGGGGGTGGAAATCTTTAAAGGATAGGCGTCGTTCAAGGAAAAAAGAAAAAAAAAATCCATATAGTTCAGTATAAAGAAAGGAAAACTATCTTGAATTTTTGTGCTCTAACTTTAATATTTATCATTGAGACTATATTTCAAGCACGATTGCTTTTCCAGTTCATGTAATGTAGCACTTATTGCATTTAATACATTTTAAGAAATGTATTAAATGCAATAAGTGCTACGCAACTATTTGGCGGCGCAGTATTATTTCGTCACCGGTGATGAGCAGGGTATCTACACGGTTGACAAATCCTAAGTATGACAACCAGTAATTTTAAAATTCCCATATTTATTCAGAAATCGGGAAAATTTTTGATCTAAATATCGAGAACAATATCCCGTACTAGTAATTACACCACTAATTATGACGGAATTACCTAGTCCTCTTTTTCATTGACATGATACAAGATGTCTAAAAAATGAGAGATGATAATAACATCAGTTAAAAAAGAACAAAATCGAGAAGCCAATAATTAAAAAAATACATAATTTGCAAAATTTTGCTCAGAGAACAAAATGTATAAAATACAACAATCAATGCAGCAACATGTATATAGCCATCGAAGTTAATAAACATTCTGAATCGTTGTTTTTTAAGAACATTTGCTAATTTATTGAACATAAGTTGTTAAGAAACCAACATTTTAAATAAATTTTTTCTATTTTTAATTAATGTATACCGTTAACTATCTATATCTGTTCGTATGTTTTTTCTTGTTTAATGCTGTTATTAGAACAAATATATTTTAAAATTTGCCTTTTTAAAATTCTAGCTACTGAAATAATGTATAATACATTAATTTTTAACGTGCCTCTATTACATGATATTATAATATATCTTTAATATATTATTATTAATATTATATTTTAAACTTTAACATTTATGTATTAATATTTGTTTATCAGTTAACATAATGTAATAATATGGTTTGTAATATTTCTTTCATGATATCAATATGATTATACTATTTAAAAATGCTTTTTTTTTAGTTTATGCGTCTAAAATAATATGAATTTATAAACAAATTTAGCGGAACT